TGTAATTCTTTTGTTTTGGAATAGTTTTCTCTCTTCTCTAAGAAGGATTAGGTTAGTTTAGGAGTCTCTCTCTAGATTAGGAGTAGTTTTAGAGAGAGAAAGTGAGGGATTTTAATGGTGATTGAGAGATTGAAGATACAAGGGTGACAATTGTGTTGAAAATCTTCTCTATTATTAATGAGCATTCTTAACTCTATCTCATCTTATTGCTTTGTTTATTTTCATGTTTTTTTGGTTTTATTTTGATGTTTGATTCTTGATTAGTGTAGTTGTTCTTGAAACATTGTTGATTCTTGATTTCCAAGTTGTTAGTTGATAGATGATGAGTCTTGAATAGTTGTTTAGCTAGGAATTGGGTGAAACTTGTATGATTGATTAATTGTTATTAATTTGGGAATTGTGTTGATTGATGGTTGAGATTAAAGTAAATAATGAAGGTTTGCATGTGTGTAATTCGATTAGGCTTTGAGAATTATGCTACATTGCAATGTAATTGCTAATGACACGAACAATTGATTTAGGAATTGCAATTATCGATTGGTTTTGGTTGTGATTCTCTTAGTTTGTTATTCATAGTGAACCCTAGCTTAACAATTAGGACACTACTAGAAAAAAGACTAATGGCAACAACAATAATTTGTTACCATATGTCTTATTAATGTTGCCATATGCCTATAGCAACGGATTATAAACCGTTACCAATAGGTGCCGTTGCTAAAACTCTTTGTCAACAACTTTCATGCATTAGGCAACAGTTATTGTAAACTTTTGCTGTAAATAACTATGGTAGCGCTTTTCTTAGGTAGCACTTTTTTACTTATGCTAACACTTATTTAACAACTTTAGGCAACATTTTCAAAGTTAAAGCAACAATTTTCGCTAATTTAAAGCAACACTTATTAGCTTGATACTAGTTGATGTTTAAAATTAAGGCAACACTTTATTTTGTTTATGGCAACGCTTCCAATTGAAACTAAGGCGACACTTTTAAACCTGTTAATGGCAACACTTTTAATTGGCATTAAAACAATAGATTATATACTGCGTATAATAAATAAATTGCTTAAATAGCATATAATCGATAAGTATAAGTTCTCCATAAAAATTTATACGTAGTTAATTCAAATCAATTCTAAATGGTTAGCTAAATATTTGTTACAAACAAAAAAAACATTTAATCTAAATATTTCATACATTAATCTAATAAAAATTCCAAAACCAAAATAAATAAATAAAAAAAAAAAAAAAAAAAAAAAAAAAACCAGTCTAATATTTTTGCTCAAATTCCAATAGATCTTTAGATGTTTGATGGAGCACTTGATACTTGGATATAAATAATCTCCTGCAAAACAACAATAATAATAATAATAAGACTCTTATATTCAATTAAAAAAAAATAAATATCAAATGAATTATTTATGGAAAATTATTATCAAAATAATAGAAATTACTATTGTAGTGAGTAAATAATGAAAAAAAAATCATCTAAAAAAGGCAAGATGGAGGTACCGTAGCAACATCACAAGAGTATAAGGAAGTAAAATCAAAGGATCATAAATTTGTATAATCATATATACTACAATATCAAAATACTAGCACAATTTCGCTAAGCTAGGATCATAAATTTTGATGCCTATCTTCGAGAAGAGGAAAGATATTGAGTTTTTAATCGTATAATTAACTAAGCAAATTGCGAGTAAGCACATATTTACAACACAAAGATCAAGTTTCTTGATTATCCATTATACCATATAAAGTAGTACTTGAACAATATTAAATAAATATGTAAATCACTAGCATGCATATATGAGCTTCTTAACATCCTGCAAATTCCAAGGCCTTTTTTAGCATATGCACAAACATAAAAATACATAATTCAAACCACCTAAGTATGATCTTTAATCTGACATCCAACTCAGCAAGCAAAGGTATTTTAAGTTAACTATTATAGATTCCCAACAATCACGCTGCTTATCTCTAGTGTGTTTACTTTATTTAGAACTTTAATAATATAATACACCATTTCAAATTCTTCAATCACATGTAACAATGTAAAAAATGAAAAAGAGAAAAGGAATGTAACATGTAAAATGGAATAACATACCTGTTCATAATCTTAAATAATATAGTTTATGGATCATTTGTAGTGGTTGAAACGATAGCTTTTGCAATAATTTCCGGAGTCAAGCTAGGACCTTTTTGGCGTAGTTTTGCAAGTGCTGATATTACTGCATCAAGAGTTATATTTCCTTGCTGATTTTCAATATCCATGCGTATCTCTTGTAGTTTTAAGGTCTCAGATTCAAGATCCTTTGTTTTCCTCTCTATTTCAGCTTCTTGTGCAGCATGAACTTCTTTTTCCTTGGCAAATTCTTTAATTTCAGCATTTGTATCCTTTTGAACATCAGCAGTTACAACACTTTTGATAGACTTCATGACCTCTTCTGGTAGAATCAAAGAGGTACCAGGTCCTTTATCTTTTCGCTTCTTACGATTGGCACTAAGGCCTTGTAACAATTATGTACCTCGACGTGCATTTCCCATAACTTCATCAAATGGATCCTTAACAGATTCACCACTCTGATCATCTTGAGAAGCTTCCAATTCCCTCATTGCTTGCTATAACAATTATTAAAAATTTTAGGTGACAAAGTATACGATAAATTTATTCATTAAATAAATTACTAGGAATAATATAGTATTTACTATCTTCTGTTGTGTATCATCATAAGGTCGATCATAAGTTATTCCCTCCTTTCGTCGTCGAGTCTCTTCAAACATTCTTCTTTTTGATGGTGCCACACCATCTTTTCGTAGCTAATAAATAAACAAAATTAAATATATAAACAACATAGAATCCATGAAGTAAACAAATCGTAATATATGTGGAATGTTTTTCGCACCAACTGCTCATGTTTCATGGCAAAGGAAACAGGACCATTTGTATGTATGTTGTCTTGTTCACGCCGATTTTCAGAATTCTGTTAACTGGTTTTCTACATAAAATAAAAACGGACAAGCATAAAAGTCAAGACAAATTTAGAGAGTTCCTAATTGTTCAATTATAACTTTGCTATTGTTGTTCCCCAATAAGCTAAAAGTGTTTTGTAATGAACTTCAGGCACTCTTTCAGGAGGATGCTTTAATCTCTCTTCATAGGTGTCATACATATAATAATGATCCCTTTTGAGGCGACATTTGAATCCTCTCCAAGATTGATCAAGAGTCTCCATTACCCAATCCTTAGCTTCAACTGGAAGGATGTATTTGCTCTAAAATAAAAGGTTAGGTTTATGTTATAAAATACAGTATTGAAACACATATAAAAGTAAACTTATGTTATACACTCAAAACATTACAAATGAGAGAAAAGAACACTTACATTCACAAATTCCCAAATTTTCTCCTTATTTGGAACTTTTTTCCAATATGTGTATGTCAAGGGAGCCCAATTGTAATCATGAGCAATAGATCCTAATAATCTAGTTAGCTCTTTCCTTGCCTTTTCAGGCCCGATAGGTTGTCCTTTGCCATTACAGTAGATAGTTACGCGATCTTCCCATTTGCGAGCATGGACATCAAACAAATTTGAAGGACCTCGCCCTTTCTTCTTAGGAACTTTTATCCAAGTAAAAACAAAATAATTAATTCATAAGAAATTTGAAGATAAAAATAAAGATTACAATCACAACTTTATCAATGCAATTACATGACATAAAAAAGTTCATAAGTAAACATGTGACAAGCATTCAATAGTTTTTTAGGCATTAACTAGATCAATTTGACAACTAAATTTAAAGAATTGCAATATGTTTTTGTATTGTATAATTCTAGAGAACTATGAAACCAAGTCTTATGCATCAGCAGGCCCTGCATCAACAGCAGCAGAGCCTGCGTGCACTAGCGGGATCCCCTTGATCAACACTAGCAGTCACATATTGCCTTGTGCAGCAACAGCACCTTCCAGAGCAAAAACTCTACTCAAATAACTTCAACCCATACATAGTTATGTTTGATTGTATAATGGTAATTAGCTAGCAGTTTGTTCATTGTTTACTGCTAATCATTACTAATATGATAAGAGAAGAAGAAAATTATAGAAGGAGATTATAGAAAGCTCTCTAACCTTGGATTGCATGAAAAAAAAGGTTACAAGACCATAAGATTTTTCATGATTTTAAAAAAGGGGAGGAGTATTGAATACAAACCTCTTGCGGAAACAGATTCTCCTCGGCTTTCTAGTGGAATAATGGTCGAAAGCGGGCGCTTAGAATTTTGTCGAACTTGCTCTAATTGTTGTACATCTTTCTCTATTTGTTGTACTTCAGCTGGATCCATTTGATTTTGCGTAACAAGGAAATCATCCATTGCCATAGATGGGCACGATGGCTGCTTCTTATTCTTCCTAGGTGGTTGCTCTCTAATTCTTTCCTTCTAACCTCGGAACATCAAGGTAATTATTATCGAAGATAAACATGATCCCAAGAAGAAAATTAAAAAAATAAGGAAAAAAGGAAAAAGTAACCTTCTTCTTAGGTATAGAGGTTTCTGCTTTAGTCAAAACATCTCTCTCTCTCTAGACATCTCAAACTCCTCGAGGTCACAATCTTCTTTATCAGGCACATAGTCTGGATCATCTACATTAGAATTCACATTCTTCTTTCCTTTTGCAAAGTTGTTATTTTTTTCCAACAGTTGCTGAGCAATCTTGTCGAGCCCTAACTCTCTAAACCTCTGGGCATTTTTTTCCATTTTCATGGACCTAACTTTCTCATAAGGTGTTAAAATGGACTTTGAGGCAATTTCAGGCTTATTACTTCCATTCTTTGTCATTCTGCAAACAAATATTATAAATAGTTAGTGGAAATAAAAAGTTTAGACCAATCAAATAGCAGTTACTGCAAAATAGTAAGACATATTTTTTCAAATATAACACATACAGACATACTTTATACTTAAAAATCTATATCTGATACTTGACCAAAGCAAATATATTCAGGTTTTGGAAAAAAATTAGAAAAAACAATCTTATTCACTAAAAAGATAAAAATTTTGAGGAAGTCCAAAGATGATAACTAATTACTGCTAACAAAAGCTAAATAAAAAAACAATCAACAAGTCTAATAACATAAGACAAATAATAATATGATAAATTCGCATTTTTTTTTAAATAAATACAATTGCTCAAGATTCATTAATAATCCTATGGATCATCAGCTGAAATATCATCAGTCGCATCCATCCAATCCCAATCTGTATCATCATAGTCAACGCCATCTTCAAGGTCGTTAACATTCTTAGACTCTGATAAATCTTCTATGTTCACAGCACGCACTTCAACATCAGCTACTACATGAATATGATTAGCATCAAAAGAAGGCATGTTATTAGAGCTATAATCAATAGGCTCCTCCCAATATGTTTCTTCATTTATTGCTTCCTCAAAGTCAAAAAGATCTCTTGGAACCCTTTTCATGACATATTGAATATCTTTTTCTAATGGGTCTTGGGAATAGTATACTTGATGAACCTGAGAAGCCAATACAAATGGATCATCTTTGGAACATTTCTTCTTGAAATTGACATATGTAAGCCAAAATTCATCAATATCACCAAGAAACCAATCGCACTTAAATAACACAACGCTGAATTGAGACCAAAAATCCAACTCAAAAATGTCTTCTATTACACCATAGTAGGTAACATCTCCGTCAACGGGATTTCGATCCCTTGAACTGGCAAAACTTGAAGTCAAGGTAGTCAAAGTCATACCACTATTTTGAGTCTTTAATCGTGAATCACGTTCTCTAGTGTAGAACCTATAACCTTTGATAAAATACCCAGTGTACCTCCTAGCCTTAGGATTAGGACCCTTAGCTAACCAAAAAAGTTCCCCATTAACCTGCTCCCTTTGAACTTTTTCAAAAAACCAATCAATAAAATCTCTGATATGACTTTGTGCACTATCCCATCTACGCTTTCGACCTTGGCTATTCACCCAAATCTGATGTTCTCTAAATTATAAAAGCGAAAAAAAAAAATCATTATTTTTATTAGATTAAATTATAAAAAAATCTAAACTGGAAATAAATTAAGAAAAAAAATCTTACTTGATGTATGTTTCAACTGTTGTATTGTCGCAATTGAAGACAATATATCTATGAGCTTGCTTCAGACTTTGGAAATCTAAAGTAAATCCTTTTCCTTTTCTCTTCCTTTTCCCTCCAATAGGATGTCCTACTTTAGGAAACAAAGATAATTCATCTACATGCTGATTAAAGGAAAAATTGCTAGCACATCTTTTATCAAGTCTAGTGTTTACACCTTCACGCAAATATCGAGAAATAAATGTCAAACACTCTTCCATCATATACCCTTCTGCTATACTTGCTTCAGGGTTACTCCTATTTCGAACATAGGACTTCAGCTTACCTAAATACCTCTCAACAAAGTACATCCATCGATATTGAACAGGTCCACCAAATTTGATTTCCTCTACTAAATGAACAGGTAGATGGATCATAACATCAAAGAATGCAGGAGGGAATATCATTTCAAATTGACAAAGTATATTGACAACTTCAGAAGCTAACCTATTTAATTCTTCGAGATCAACAATTTTACTACATATACCATGAAAAAAGTTCCCCAATCTAGTCAAAGGTACTGCAACATTTTTTGGCAATGTCTTCCTAACGGCAACTTGAAGCAAGTGATGCTATACGACGTGAGGATCATGAGTTTTGTAGCCTGAAAAATTCCTTTCTTTAACATGCACACACCTCCCAATATTTGATGCATACCCATAAGGTAACTTTGTTTCCTTAAGAACTTTGAGAAACAAATCCTTCTTTGTATTACTCATAGAATAAGGTGCTCGTGGAAATAGCATGTGGCTGCCATCTTCGGATGGATAAAGTTGGAGATGTGGTATTATGCCAAGATCCAACAAATCCAAACGTGCCTTATTGTGGTCTCTAGTCTTTCGTGGAATATCTAACAAAGTGCTAACAATATTATCGAAGACATTTTTCTCGATATGCATGACATCTAAATTATGACGATATTTAATATTAGACCAATAAGACAGTTGAAGAAAGCATGATTTCGTTTTCCATGGACCCTTACCACCTCCACCTTTACTGTTCTTCCCAAAATCATTTTCCAAGTTTTCTAATTCATTCATCAAATCATTACCATATAACAGAGAAGGTGCACACCTATCCTCTAATTTTCCATTAAGTGAATGTGTATCTTTCCGCCAAGGATGATCCATATCAAGATGCCTTCGAATATCCATGTAACAATTCTTTCTGCTGTGATTCAAGTATTTAGGTTCCACATAATGGTTACAATTAGGGCATGCATAATTTCCTTTAGTAGACCATCCAGACAACATGGCATAAGCCGGGAAATTATTTATTGTCCCCATTAATGCAGCATGCAATTGAAATGATTGTTTTTTAGATGCATCATAAGTCTCAACCCCAAATTCCCATAATTCCTTTAATTCGTCAATTAGTGGTTGCAAAAAAACATATATATCATTCCCTGGGGACTTAGGGCTAGGAAATAACAAAGACAACATAAAATATTCCGGTTTCATGGAAAGCCAGGGTGGAAGGTTGTAATTAATTAACACAACAGGCCATGTGCTGTGAACAACACTCATAGTTCGAAATGGATTGAATCCATCACTAGCAAGAGCTGAACGTACATTTCGTGCTTCATTTTTAAAGGCAGGATATGATGAATCAAAGTCCTTCCAAGATTGGGCATTTGCTGGATGTCTAATTTTGTCATCTTTTATTCGGCCTTTATCATGCCAAACCATTTGTTCAGCTGTTTTAGAACACATGAATAATCTTTGCAGTCTAGGTTTTAAGGGAAAATGTCTTAAAACTTTGGCAGGAACATTTTTAGACTTCCACCTAAATGTACCACACTTAGGACAAACATCAGCTCCTTCAAATTCCTTTCTATAAAGAATACAATCATTGGGACAAGCATGAAATTTTATATAATCAAGACCTAAATTCTTCACTATATTCCTAGATTCATTTAATGATTTAGGAAGTTCAGCCATTGGAAATGCTTCTCTTAATAGCTCTAAAAGATCTCCAAAGGCTACATTGCTTAACCAATAAGGAACTTAAAGAGAAACAAACGAATTATGAAAGATAATTTCGAGAAGGTTTTACAGCCTGGATATAGCTCTTTCTTTCCTTCTTCCACTAAATGAAAAAACTTTCTAGCCTCCTCATTTAGCTCACTTTCAACCTCATGATCTCTATTTAGACCTTCACTGACATCTATAAAAGTATCATGTAGTAAGCCATCAATATCATCATGTGTACTTTGATTATTTACTTCATGCACATTTTGCCTATCATTACTTGTAAAAGAATATCCCTCCCTTTGCAAGACCCACTCCTTGAATCCCTTCACAAACCCATTAATAATCAAATGATCATACACATCATCTCTAGAATGGAAAAAACGCCTCGAACACGTTTTACAGGGGCAAAATATTTGATCTCCAATGGCGTCCTTGGCAAAAGACTCATCAAGGAAAAAATTCAACGCAACTTAAAGTCCTCCGAACTTCTAGGATAGTTCATCCAATTATGATCCATAACTTAATTTATGTCAATTCCTAAATTACACAAGCAAATAAATTTAGAGATCTATCTATATTATGAAATGAAAGAATAGACTTGTTAGATATTAATTGGAAAAATATAAAGTGCTAAAGTTGAAAATAGAAATCTCAAGCAAATACATATAAAGATCATCAATGATATCTAAATACGTACACATATTAGTTATAAAGTTATATACCATAATCTAGTACATATAAAGTTATGATTATTAAGATCAAAAGTTATATATATGAAGAGAATAATTAGTTTTACACACTAACTAGACTGAAAGTTACAAAGTCTTTAGATAAAACTTCAAATAATAAGAAACCACTAACTATGAATTAAAAGTTAGGTAGACATGATTCCATTTCATAATAATTCCTGACTAATAAGAAATTTGCTACTAGTCTATAAGGAACACTTACTTGGCATCACAATCTGTAGCTTATAACAATCTTTAGGTTCACATACGCTTAATCTCTTTAAAATATAAGATTGATAAAGTAAAATCATACTCTTTAAAATCTTTATTATTTGTGCACTATCAAATTTAACTTTAACTCACTTTTTAATGATTCTTCACATCATCTTGTCTGGTTGTCCTGATATAGTTTCAGTTATGTGATTCAATTCTAATGGATAATGAATAAAATCTAAACTTTACGTATCACACTAAATAAGTTGTAATGTTGTAACAAAAGTTCACTTTATTGCAATGCTTATGTTACTGCGAAAGTCATGTTCTTTAAGTGGCATTAATTAGTGAAGTAGTGGTTAAGTTAGTTGTAATCATATGCTCACAGGTAGATATTTATAAATTTCTAGTACTTCTTACGAACTAGTTTCTATATGGAGCGTACTTCTTAATTTTCCAATTTCCATATAATTGTAGATTTTAAGATATGATAAAAATAGAACTAATAAAAGGAAAAGGGATGATCATCATGCGTTTATGATATGATTATAACTATTGCTTAACACAAATAATTACACCAAAACAAATTTAAGTTTGAGAATCATTTTTATTTAAAAATGAGAATAACTTATTTAAACTATAGCCTTTCAACTAATTAACATCAAGCTACTTATTGTGAAATATGATTTTGATTATTTGAGAGACCAGCCCTTGGTGGAACTTTTGCGTAACCATCTAAGGTAATTCCTGACATTGTATTAAAAGAGAAAGATGGACTTAAATAGGGAAAATGAGGTACACAAATTTAAAAGAGTTTTGGGCAATTCACTCGTACAACACACAGTTCCTTTTTTTTAACAAAAAAAAAAAAAAAAATAAATAAAAAAAAAAAATCACAAACTAGCAATTACGAGCAAGTGGAAACTGACTATTACTATTAATCTTTCCGAATCTAGAAATTATAAGCAGGGTCACAATCTAGAGTATAAAATTAACCAACATGTCTAACAATCCCAAAAATTCTATAAAGTTATGCAAGTAATTTCTCTTTTGTTGATCTAATACTAACCAGCCACATGCAACTCACCAAGAAAACACATTAATTTACAAGAAAAACAAAATCTACGGTAAATCATAATAAATCTATAAATAAAATTGAATTATATGAACTCTCAAAATCAAATTATACAATTCCCCATTTTACGAAACCCTAAATCCCCTGTTCAATACCAATAAGTTCCAACTACATAATTGTGATATCAAAATAAAATTGCAGATAAGTTATTCAAGAAAACATCAATTTAAACAACTTAATTACATACTAACCTTGTTCACTAGTGTTGAGAGCAAACACCAAATTGACGACGAATTATGATAATGAAAGAATTTCAAACTCTGATTCAAGCAATTTCAACCCGCTTACAAAGAACTGTAATCGGACTTGAAACGAAAAGAAAGGGGGTTTGTGAATTATGTGCGAAATTAGAGAGGGATGAGTTGTGGGGGATGAACAGGGGGAATTGAAACGAATAGAAAGGGTTTGTGAATTAGGAAAAGAAAGAGGGTTTGTGAATTAGGAAAAGAAAGAGGGAAACTAAAAAAAAATTAGACCGCTTAATTGAAAATTTTCATGTTCTCAGAATTTTCATGTACAAAAAAAAAGACCGCTTAATCACTACCGAATACTCCGTATTACTTATTTTTATTTTTCAAATTAGAAATTATTTAATTAATTAATCATTAATATCAACTTGCACCCTCTTGGTTAAACCGTTGCCAAATATTGTCTTTTACTTATTCATTAAAAGCGTTGCCATTTTTTTCTCTATAGCAACAGATTTTGAAACGAAAATGGTTAGTTATATCAGTAAATTAAAAACTGTTGCCACATGTCTACTTATAGCAACATTAATAAAACTGTTGCAAAAATGTGTGTTGCTATAGCCCTCTTTTGTTGTAATTGGCTCTATCATTCCAATTTATTGCTCTTATCATTAGTCTTCACAACCTTGGATTGGCATGATCTTCCCAAGTAGTTGTAATTTACATGATTACTTGTTGATCCCCATTCCTAGTATTTTATTTCCTTGGTTAATTTTTTGTTAGTTGTTAGTATTCTCTCTTACCTTTGTTTTTGACCTAGCTGAGGCACCCAAATCGAAAGCATTTGAACATTACCGTTTCTTTGGGTTCGACCCTTGACTTTCCTCTATGCTCGTGTTTAGGTTTTTTAAGTGTTTACAAATTTAGTTTGAGCGAGGGAGGATTAGATAACGACCTAGTTTTCCCCTCGTCACAAGCCAAAAAAACTTGTAATCAAACAAAACAATAAAATGAGATAGAGTAAGAAATGCTCGTTGATAATTGAGAAGATCTTCAATACAATTGTCACCATTGAATCTTCAATCTCTCAATCACTATTGAAATTCCCCACTTTCGCTCTCTGAATCTACTCCTAAACTAACCCTAAAACTAGAGAGAAAAGCTCTCAACCTAACCTAAGATATGAGAGAGAAAGTCTCCAAGCTAATCTAAAAATCGTCTTCTAAAATAGAAATGTCAAGACTAATTTATATTAAAACGAGCAAGGGGAAGCAGAGCAAACCATGCGCACGCACCACCTATCTGTGCGCACGCAAATCAATTTAAGCCCTAGAACAATCTATGCGCACGCACTAGCCACCCCATGCACACAAACAAATGGGTGTGCGCGTACAAACCTCTATTGTGATGCACGAGGCCTAGCTCCCCTTGGTTGCTCGATCGATCTTCGCGCTCTAGAGCATTCCTATCATTAGTGCACTCGAGGCGATGCCCACGAGAATGGAAACCTTTAATTCTTCAAGCACTTGAACACTCCAAGCCAAAACATTGCTTCCATGGTGCTTGTGCTTGCGGAGCTAGCTTGAATTGCATGCTTGGATTCCCGAACTTAGCTCCAAATTTCCTTGTATGCGCTTAAGTTTCCTCCTCGATAATTAAATCACAGGAAACTCGACAAACCTATAAAACAAGTCAAAGAAAAGGAGAAGCGAGAGAAATAGCCAAGAAATGAATAAAATAATAGGAAAACCATCAAAAGCACACAATTCTCTAAACTTATACACAAACACGCAAATCAAGCATTATTATGTAAAAACACAACATAAAAGACTAAAAATGATCGTAAAAATAGGAAGAAAACCTAGCCTAAGAGTGCCATAAATGGCACGCATAAAACTCCCCCAAGCTAAACTTTTGCACGTCCTCGAGAAAAACAAAAAACAAGGGAAAGAAAATGACGAGCTTATTAAAACAAACAAATTAAAAGAAGAGAGGAGACAAGAATATACACCAACCCACTTTCGTAGGAATCACGGTATATTTTAGCAAAAATCGACAAGCCATTTAAACCCCGAGATTTCCCTAAAATACGAGTGATGCTCTAATAAGGGTTTCCTAAGAGATTGACCCATAACTCCCACAAACCGAACAAACAAAGAAAAGCACGAAAAAGAAGCAAAAAGAAAAGAAAAGATCACAAATGTTCATGAATGGACTTTTAGAAATGTACAACCATAAATGAATACAAATCTTTCTAAACAAGTAAGGGAGTGCACATTTCAAGATATCTAAGGTTGATTGAAACATAGGACATCCTAAGTATAGAGAACTACAAAGACTCTGTTCACCTACATCTCAAAACACTTTTAGCACATTCTCCCAATTGGCTTCAAATCTACTTTTAATTAGCATCTCTATAGTTCCTTGAAGGAACCGGAAAAAGAAATAGATTGTTTCAGGTTTCTCGACATCTTGACGTTACATCCCCTCTCCTTAGGCTTTAACTCATAATGCTCTCCCCAAATATGTGACTCAGCCCTAGGTCAAAAGGGCTTTCCCAAAGGTTGTAACGTAAGGGCAAAAGGGCGAGGGAAGGCTTAAAATTTGGAATTTGGTGGTATTCCTAATTAGTGAAACAAAAGGGTGATAAAACGTTCTCCTTATAACCAAGTAATCACCAAAGAAAAACAAACCAACACCCCCAAGCTTATTCAAAGCTATAACCACAATCATATATACAAAAAGCTTAAGAACGCTTCCCCCTAAGCTTGAACAAAGCATTGTCCTCAATGCTTAAAATAGGGAGAAACACTTACAACAAAATGTTTTTGAAAATTTTCATTTTTTTTTACTTTTTTTTTTTCAATTTTTGCCAAAGCTTTTTGAATTTTCTTTGCTTTTTCTCAATTTTTCAATTTTTACATTATTCACTTTATTTATTGTCCTCGCCTCTTTTAACTATGGACGACCTTTTCAACTTTGCATTTGAATGTCCTTGCCTTTTTTAATTTTGGACAACTTTTTCATTTATTCAATTCCCATTGTTCACAAGATATACAAAACACAAGCTTGCTTAAAAATAAGAACCAATATCTAAACTCATATATAGAACAATCTCCAAGAACATGATCATTTGCTTCACAAAAACAAAAAATGGAACAAAAAGAGAAAAAAAAAGGCTCAATGTTCTAAAAATATATGGCTTGAAAAGAAGGGAAAAGGCTTAAATAGTTAGCAAATGGAAACCCAAGAACAAAAAATAAAGAAGGTTATCCTAGAAAAGAAAAATTACCATCTCGAAAAGATGCCTATGTCCTCCCTAGATGGTTCGGTAGTGTGTGAGGGAATTTTAAATCAAGATTCAAGATTAGGTCCGCAATAGTCAAGGATCCATGCCGCTCATTCAAGTAATTGTAGAAGGCTTGAAAACTATGAAACCTCACAAGGATGTGGAAAAAACTCACTAAAAGCTTCAATTTACCAAAGGGGAACAATTACGAGTTTTCAAAAATAAGAGAATTCAGTTTCAAGGTCCCAATAGTTCTAAACAACTACCTTAGCATGTCCTATCCTAGAGTTAACCAAAGATTCTCTCAAACCGTGCACACCGTTATCATTTAAGAAGAAAAGCATTCAAGTATACAAGTCGAAAAGTATTATTTCAAAAGCAAGAACAAAACAAAACACAATGCAAATTTGCCTAGAAAGAATTCAAAATCTTTTTGGAGTTTTTCAAGATTAAGAACATGGAAATGCATATACAAATGGGCATATCATATATGAATCAAAATCCCACCAGACATGATAGGATACCCTCCCCCAAGCTTGAATGAGATAACATACTCAAATCATAAATCAAATAATCCACGGGAGGGGAAAAGAAAGAAATCAAACCAACAATCCCAACACATGTCCAACAAGTTATCAACTATTAGAGAAAGAGCAAGGAATGATATTAACATATGTTAGGTGGGTGTAAATTCCCGCAAATGACCCAAATTAACCTTTCAAAGTCTAGTTCATCTATCATTGAATCTTGTTTTCCATATGCTAGCAAAATAGGAGTCAATCTTCCTTGATTCTAGATTCAAAACAATGCACCTATGTATATCAAGTCATGTACCTAGCAAAAGGAACACAAAAATTTCCATGAGAAAAAATCTATTCTATAAAGAAAAGAAAATGAAAGCAATAAAACACGGGTTACTTCCCGAGAAAGGCTTGCTTATGGTCCAAGCTTGACCACTCTAGTAAAATAGTAATCCAACGAACGCAAGAGCTTGTCAAATGCACTACTACACATTTCATTTGAAAGTAAGTATGCACATGACAAAGATAAGGCATGCAATAAGCTTAGTGCACACCTATGAGGAGAGAGATGTCAAGAGAAAGATGGAGAATCAAAAGAAAATTCAACACAATAAGAAAAGGAAAAATAAGAAGAAGAAGAAGTAGAAGAAAAAGAATAAGGCAAACTCTCCTCACAATATTTCTGGGTGGCATAATCATCCTTTTTTTCAAAACGTAAGAGGGTCCCCAATAGGCTCAGTAACAAAGGAAGGGAGAGATATAGGAGTGTAGGGGATATGGTTAAAATTCCTAGAAAAAGGGACATGAGAAAAGGGAAAAAGAGTAGCTACTCCTTCACCATCATGCCTCACATCACCAATAAGAGCACGAAAATCAATTGAAGAGCACTCATGATCTCCATTTCCTTCAAACATCCAACTTCCAAGATGCACTACATAATCCCCTCCATCACAACTATGTACAACAATTCTCTCAACATCTTTAAAGCCTAAAGTCTCAAAAACATGCATGAATGGATGCAAATTCATTTCAAACTCATCTCTCTCCCATGAAGAATTCTTAATAAACTCACTCAAAAGGCTATGAGTTTTCATTTGACACTCAAAACACATATTAGTCATAATCTCAATCGAGTTCAAATGCTTATGGATAGCAAAATTACAATCATGCACTTGAGAATCATCAAGATGGGAAATAGGGTTGAGGTTATAAAAATCAACACTCTCTTCATTATCAACTCCTTAACCATCACTCAAATTCTCACCAAAGGGATCCTCACACTCTATTTGTTGCTCAAAATCATCATCAAAATCCTCAACACACACATTAGATTGGTGTTTTTCACATACACGCATCAAGGATGACAATTATCTTTCTAACTCATCTCTTCTTCTCTTTTCATCCTCAATATGCTTCTCATTCTTTTTCATTATCTCTAATTGACATCTCATATATGTAAGAATCATCTCCTTACTAGGCCCAAGATCATTATGAAGCTTAATGCGCCTAATTTGAGACTCAAATATATCAACAAGAGATTTAAAAGGTGTATAAGGTTGAGGTTCAACAAAAGAAGAAGATATACAACAAGGATTGGAAAAATCAACATGAAAATCAT